ACAAAATTATCTCGTCCAAGAAAACGTCGTCGAACACTAATCTGGTCACAACAAGCTGTCATTTCACTTCGTGATGGCCTTTTAACATTACAATGCCGATTAGGTGATATGCGTTATAGATCAACATTAGTTGAAGCTCATATAAGAATGTATTATGTTTCAAAACGTCAAACAAAAGAAAATGAAATAATTCCACTTCAATTAACTGACATGGATGTAGGTTTTGATGCTGGAAAAGATAGATTATTTCTTAATTGGCCACTTATCATTGAACATAAAATTGATACACGAAGTCCATTATATACCATGGATAAAACGACAATTTATACGGAAAAATTTGAAATTTTACTTGTTCTTGAAGGAATTATTGAACCAACTGGAATGGTTACACAAGCTAGAACTTCTTATCTACCTGAAGAAATAATCTGGGGAGCAAGATTTGAAAGAATGATTCATTTTGATAATCTTTATTATACTGTTGATTATTCGAAATTTAATTCAATTATTAAAGATAATTGTACAACTGATTGTTCAGCTAAACAAATTCAAGAACAAATCGATAGTAACTGATTTCTTTTTCTCCTTTTATTAGATTTACAAGATCTTATTTGTTAAAATTACAGATCATTTTTTTGTGAAACGTTATTTGCTAAATATAATTTCATCTTTTAAATTGGTAAATATCTTGAGCTTTTTTGTTAAATCTTGAAGAAATTGTATTTCGTTATAATGGTTGAAGATGATCGTTTAAGATCAAAAATTCTCGTAAACATGCAAAATCAATCAAAATTATAAAACTATATACTAGAGACGATAATTTCTTCAAAATAATTTCATCTATTTTGACGAGGCAGAAATGACAACCATCGAGAAAGTAAATTATTAAACAGGTCATCAGAGTGCAAAATCCATTTCTATCCAAGACTACAATGACAATAAAAGGTCTGTCAATCAAACTGATATGCAAATTTCGTTTTCCGAATCTGTGTGTAAATCATTGAAATGATACAAAAAATTCTTTTTTCATTTCTTTGATATCTCGCCTTTCAATGCCGATGTACTATGCAAACCACAAACCAGCGAAAAAATTGCTCTTTACGATTTTTGACTGAAATGAATTTGATGTAAATTAATTAATATAATATGATTGATATATTAATTTAAATAATCTAATTATTAATAGATTATTTATAAAACTACTTAATTATATTCTATTAACTTAACGGGTGTCCCAGGAAAAATGAACCTCTCAATATGTTTGAGATTTCTTGTCTATTATCCCTGTAATTAAAGCTCTTTTTATTATCAAAAGATAGCGCTTGAAATTCTCTACCAAATCATCTATGGATTTGCTCAAAAATAGTATCA